TCTAATTCTATCATTTGCTTTCCATTTATTAGCCAGAATAAATTCATAAAGAGACATCTTCCTTCATCTACCCAGTGGGACAGCTCACATGGGAAAGGTGGGACACACTTGGTTCTTTCCCTTAACTAGTTTTCAAGGTAATGAAGTGGTTCTCTCACATCCTGTGAAGATGACAAGCTCTTTTTGTTTATTAATACCACAGTGAACTCGTGGATTTAAATATATTTGCTGGCCGGGTGCGGTGGCTCACGCCTGTAATCCTAGCACTCTGGGAGGCCGAGACGGGTGGATCATTTGAGCCCAGGAGTTCAAGACCAGCCTGAGCAAGAGCGAGACCGCGTCTCTACTAAAAATAGAAATAAATTATACAGACAACTAAAAAAATATATATAGAGGCCGGGCGCGGTGGCTCACTCCTGTCATCCTAGCACTCTGGGAGGCCGAGGCGGGCGGATTGCTCGAGGTCAGGAGTTCGAAACCAGCCTGAGCAAGAGCCCCCGTCTCTATAAACAATACAAAGAAATTAATCGGACAACTAAAAAATATATATAGAGGCCGGGCGCGGTGGCTCACGCCTGTCATCCTAGCACTCTGGGAGGCCGAGGCGGGCGGATTGCTCGAGGTCAGGAGTTCGAAACCAGCCTGAGCAAGAGCGAGACCTCGTCTCTACTATAAATAGAAAGAAATTAATTGGCCAACTAATACATATATAGAATAAATTAGCCGGGCATGGTGGCACATGCCTGTAAGTCTCAGCTACTCAGGAGGCTAAGGCAGTAGGATGACTTAAGCCCAGGAGTTTGAGGTTGCTGTGATCTAACTGATGCCATGGCACTCTAGCCTGGGCAACAGAGTGAGACTCTGTCTCCAAAAAAAAAAAAAAAATATATATATATATATATATATATATATATATATATATATATTTCTGGGGTTTTTTTTGGTGGATTTCAAGCTGCTGTAATTATTATACAGTCACGCATCGCTCAACAAAGGGAACATGTTATGTGAAATGCATCACTAGGAGATGCTGTCATTGTGTGAACATCCTAGAGTGTATTTACACAAGCCTAGATCGTTTAGCCATCACCTACATAGCAAAGAAATCCAAGAACACATCATTTCTGCTTTTTCATAACCACAAGTCTTAGGTAGAGGTTTAAAACCCTAAGGAGGGAGTGCTGGCAATTTTACATATATTAGCATTAAGACCATGCTACATCCTCTTCAAGTGACTATCCTCTTTACTTTTTGTTCTCATGCCTGCCTTTCAGCCCTGCTGAACTATTTACATGACGCTTCATGCCTTTTCCACCTTAATGCCTTCACACATGCTGATTCCTCTGCCCTGTTGTTCCAGTCTCAGCTTAGCTACCACTTCTTCCTGGAAGCTTCTATAGACCACTGATATGACAGCGATGTCTCTCTTGTGTGTTCTGTAGCATCTTGGTTTTCCCTTAGCATAACATTTATCTCACTGACTGCAATTGTGTGTTTATTCATCTGCCCACCTCACCCGCCACCCATGAAACTGTGAGTGGCAGGGCCTGTGGCTTGCTCACCTCAACTTCCCCAGTATCTGCACCGTGCCCAGCATAATAGTAGGTTATAAATAAGCAATTGTTGAATGGATGGATGAAGCCCAAACTGGTCTGTGTCATTCTTGTCCTCGCACTGTCACTACTCCTTGGCTGTTCTGCTAAAGCACTCATTACCCTATGTTAAAATCTACCCATTTCATATTCCTGTGTCCCTCCACATCCTAGCTAGAGAGTGATCAGCTGTAACCCCTTCTCTAGCAAGACATATGGTGCAGAGTAGGCATTCCATAAATAAACTATTGATGTTACTATCTCTCAACATTGTTATTGAATCTATTGTTTCCATAAAACTAAGAGCAGTTAATGTGAAACTTGTTTCTGTGCTCAGTTTGACTTCCCCCTTTAGAATCATTTTTGGGAAGTGTGACAAAGTTCCTCTTCACATTTCCCCACAAAAGTGGCCTTTGGAAAGTTTGGGGTATCCCATGTTCCCCATGAAAGCTTTCCTCATCTCAGGAGGCACTTGGGAATAGACCTTACATTCCTGTTTGCCTCAGTTGATGCCAGAAACCCCAGTTTCCTACCTCCCATGTTCCAAACCTCATGGCCAGACTCAGGCTCCTTCTCACGTGTTTAGTGACTCCACTCTTGTCCAATGCCATGTGTTTGCAACAGGAATTAATTGGATCATTAATTTTTCTCTCCCTCCTAGGTCACCCTCATAAGCATACTACATGCTGTTATTTCTCCTGTCTTAAAACCACAGACTTTGCCGGGCGCAGTGGCTTACACCTGTAATCCTAGCACTCTGGGAGGCCGAGGCGTGCTGATCGCTTAAGGTCAGGAGTTCGAAACCAGCCTGAGCAAGAGCAAGACCCCGTCTCTACTAAAAATAGAAAGACATTAATTGGCCAACTAAAAATATATAGAAAAAATTAGCCCAGCATGGTGGTGCATGCTTGTAGTCCCAGCTACTCAGGAGGGTGAGGCAGGAGGATTGCTTGAGCCCAAGAGTTTGAGGTTGCTATGAGCTAGGCTGACACCACAGCACTCTAGCCTGGGCAGCAGAGTGAGGCTCTGTCTCAAAAAAAAAATAAATAAATAAATAAAAACCCCACGGCCTTAATCACACTGCCTTGTTCATGTCCTGAGTGACCAAACCTCCTCTCAGAGCTTTATGCTGTCTGCAAAGGTGCAACCAAGCCAGGGTTCCATTGCCCCAACCTGACATGGAGTGACTGCCCTTCTTCTCCTTGCTGCTCCTTGCTACAGCCCTGAAAAGAGCTTTTTATTCTGAGACATAATTGTAGGTCATTTGTGACGATTGGCCTTCACTCTTCAGTGCTCTTTTGGCTTTTATGCTACCTCAAATATCATGTTCTCTCAGCAGGGAGGGAGCTGAGAACACTCCAAATACTGGCTTTTTCTTTTTCTCTGTCTCCTTGGTTAAAGCTGGTGGACTTATAAAAATGTCAAGCATAAATGAAGCTACAGAGAGAAAAGACTTCCTGTCCCAGTGGTTGCCATACCTCCTGGCAGAAGCCTGCACATCCTGCTGTCACACATGCCACCGCACAGGAGAGAAAACCACAGAGCTATAAATCTCTCTGCTGCAACATCAAGTGTCTCCAGTGGAGAAAAGCCCTGCAATCAGCCTGTCATCCTTAATTCCCAACTGAGGCTAATGCCACATTTCCCTACAGCAGAGGTTCTACATTGCTCCCCACTGGCTCTCAGAGAGGGCAGGGAAGTTTACAGATTCAGAGGACTCCTTAGGGTTTTGGTCAACTGCAAATAGCTGCTTCCCTAGATCTGTACCCCTTCTCTGTACTAAGCCAAGATGGTACTGTCTACAGCAAACATGCTAGGTCAATGCTGAATGGGGAGCAGAGGAGCCCCAAAAGTCACCTGCCACAGGTTTCTGTGGAATAACATTCTCTTTTCTAAGTATGGACTAACCTTTGCTCATCTTACCTCAAGGCTCAGCTCTTTCCGAGGTTTGTATTCCATCAAGGGAAGTTTCTTTTAGTTCTTATAGTTTTTCACAACAGGGGCATTGATAGCTTTAAGACAGACAATTCTGCCATGCTCTCTCCTTCATGATGAGCAAAAATTACATATTTTCAGGTGCCCCCTAGGGGAATGATACTATTTGTGGCTAAGAAACACTGTGACTCCAAGGGGCTGAATTCTTTTTTTGTGTTTTTTTTTTTTTTTTTTTTTTGAGACAGAGTCTCTCTTTGTTGCCCAGGCTAGAGTGAGTGCCGTGGCGTCAGCCTAGCTCACAGCAACCTCAAACTCCTGGGCTCAGGCAATCCTACTGCCTCAGCCTCCCGAGTACCTGGGACTACAGGCATGCGCCACATGCCCAGCTAATTTTTTCTATATATATTAGTTGGCCAATTAATTTCTTTCTATTTATAGTAGAGATGATGTCTCGCTCTTGCTCTGGCTGGTTTTGAACTCCTGACCTCAAGCAATCTGCCTGCCTCGGCCTCCCAGAGTGCTAGGATTACAGGCGTGAGCCACCAGGGCTGAATTCTTAAGTGCCGCTCATTAAAAAAAAAAAATTTCTTGACCCCACAGCTTTCCGCCTTTGTAATCACACATCTCTAAAGAGTTGGCTAAACTCCTCTTTCTACTTTTTTTACTTCATTATTGACCATTCTATCCCCATCTGAGTTCAGATACATTCCTACAGCTATTTAGCTGCTTGACTTTGGGTACATTACTTGATCTCTCTGAATCTCAATTTTATTATATATAAGATGGAGATGGTAATGCTTACCTCTCCCATAGGGTAGTTCTGGAGATTAAATGGATTACGGTAAAGCACTTAGAAAAGGTTACATAGGAAGTATAACCAGCCGTTCTACTTAATTCTCTTAGAATTCCATTTGTGTTTTAATCATCTGTGGCGTTTTTATGGAAAGACAATTATATTACCTTCAGATAATAGTAGTCCTCTCTCTTCCTCTCTAATGTATATGATTTTTCTTTTTGGCCAATTCTTTAGAACTTAAATAACTGGCCATGGCAGATACTCGTCATTTGTATCTGATTTGAATGTACCATTTGGCTCTTGGACTGAGATAGACAATAGTAACAAAGTTTCCTTTTTCTTCATTACTAAGATTATTTTAAAGCCTGAGCATACATTTAATTTGTATTACAGGCTTTATGCTGCATCAATTATAATGATTGTATAATTCTGGTCCTTGAAACTGTGAGTGTGAATCCCATTACTAGACTCCCCAATGTTGACCCATCCTTAAAAACATCTAATAAAGTATTCTTAAAGATGGTACACTAGTCCTTTATTTAATATAAAGTGTTTGATCATTATAATGGCTGATTTGCTTCCTTCCTGCTGTCCTTGTCATGACATAGGTTCTTGGCAGAACCTGAGAAGCAAGAGCAATTGGTCCAGTAACTTCTTATTGAATTGCCTCTCTGCAGGCCTGGCGCAAGCGTTGGTTTGTCCTCCGGCAGGGCCGCATGAGTGGCAACCCCGATGTCTTGGAGTACTACAGGAACAAGCACTCAAGCAAGCCCATCCGGGTGATAGACCTCAGCGAGTGTACAGTGTGGAAGCATGTGGGCCCCGGCTTTGTTCGGAAGGAATTTCAGAATAATTTCGTGTTCATTGTCAAGACCACTTCCCGTACGTTCTATCTGGTGGCCAAGACTGAGGAAGAAATGCAGGTGTGGGTACACAGCATCAGTCAGGTCTGCAACCTGGGCCACTTGGAGGACAGTGCAGGTAAGAATGGAGTGGGGGCTTCTGTATGCTAAAGGGTAGCCCGGGACACTGCACCTGCACTAGAGAGCTACGGCAGAAAAACGGTTCAAGGTGTCAAGCCAACCTCCCTGAGGGTGCTTTAGCAGGCAAATTTATATCAGAACTGTTCCTACCAAGTACTGGAAATTGCCCCCTTTCGCCTGGTTCTAGGATTCTAGTCCAAATATGGGAAGGCAGGGTCTATCCACACATTGAGCATTGCAGGTAGCTTTGATGGCTTTCAAATCCTTTCGTGTCTTTGCTCTCATTCAGCCATAGTGAAAGTCAAATGTGGGTGAAAATGTCCTACAGGGCTCCGATTTTCCCCAAGATGATGATACTTCATTTTCTAGATATATGAAATATTGCCATCTTTCAAAAATTCGTGGAACTCCAGCTTTTGTGGTGCCTTTTTGGTTTTTCAGCACCAAATGGTAGAAAGACAGAACTTGGCTACTTATCACAGGCAAGAAAGAGTTCCTCATATCTCCAACTGTCTCAAGTTCTCTGCAGGGGAAATTAGTTGTAAGTTTGCTGTGGGCCATTTCTGGGCAGTGGGGGCAATTGACTCATGAAGAGCCCCCCTGCACAAACCTACATACTGTTCTTCCTATGTCATAGACCAGGTATATTGTAACCTAGTGTTATAATTCACTTCCCTGCATGGATTTTGTTGTTGAGTCCCTGGAATTATTGCACCATGCCCTGATCATAAAAATATGGGATTTTTTTTTTTTGATACAGAGTCTCACTTTGTTGCCCAGGCTAGAGTGAGTGCCATGGCGTCAGCCTAGCTCACAGCAACCTCAAACTCCTGGGCTCAAGCAATCCTGCTGCCTCAGCCTCCCGAGTAGCTGGGACTACAGGCATGCGCCACCATGCCCGCCTAATTTTTTCTGTATATATTAGTTGGCCAATTAATTTCTTTCTATTTATAGTAGAGATGGGGTCTTGCTCTTGCTCAGGTTGGTTTCGAACTCCTGACCTCGAGCAATCCGCCCGCCTCGGCCTCCCAGAGTGCTAGCATTACAGGCATGAGCCACCACGCCCAGCCCAAAATATGGGATTTTTGAGTCTGTTTCTTTTTTTAGCCTCTTAGTCTAGTAGATAAAATCTTGCCCCTAAATCCAGTAGTCTACAGTTAGTTACTTCAACATTTCAACGCTGTTTTTTTACCATCTGCCTCTGAAATATCTACATGCTACCACTAGGTGGCGACAGAGAGTCAGTTGCATTTCCCTCTAGAACAGACACATGAGGGTGTGTACTTCCTGAAGACAAATTCCTTTTCTTTTTATTAACCAGGGAAGCTTATTAAGTGAAGCTATTTAGTAATATTTCTGAACTTTGAGAGCACTCAAATAAAAAAAAATGAAGTGATGGCAAGTTCTTTATTCTTGGTGCAAAGACACAGCTTACATGCAAAGTTACAGTAGGTCCACCATGGCTAGTCTGATGCTATGCAAACCAAGCTTTTCTGTTGGTTCCCTTTTCCCTGTCTTCAGCCCCAACTAGATATATATTCATGTATCGTGTTATATGTCTCCTGTTTCTTTATTCATCTAAGAGTTATCATAAAATACATGTACATAATGTGTTTCCCAGTAACCCAAGAGCAACAGGAATAAGTAAAGCAACCAGGCAATAATTGAAGAGCCCTGCCCTTGTGTAAAGTTGGAAGAAGCCAGAAAATTCCCCTATGACTTCTTTCATTCCTGTAGCGCCCTCCCCACCTCATTTTAAGGGTAGAGTCCTCCTTGAGAATTATACCGAAAGGGCTTTTTTTTTTTTTTTTGAGACAGAGTCTCACTTTGTTTCCTAGGCTAGAGTGAGTGCCGTGGCGTCAGCCTAGCTCACAGCAACCTCAAACTCCTGGGCTCAAGCGATCCTTCTGCCTCAGCCTCCCAAGTAGCTGGGACTACAGACATGCGTCACCATGCCCGGCTGATTTTTTCTATATATATTAGTTGGCCAATTAATTTCTTTCTATTTATAGTAGAGACGGGGTCTCGCTCTTGCTCAGGCTGGTTTCGAACTCCTGACCTCGAGCAATCCGCCCACCTCAGCCTCCCAGAGTGCTAGGACAAAAGGACTTTCTTATGGCTTTTCATGTATAGTGTTTGGTTCTGTCTCCGGCAACCATAGAGTAGTCAACACATTGTGTGTATCCTGGCCAAGAGCTCTGTTAAAATGCTTTTGCATATTAACTCATTTCATCCCCATACCAGTTCGATGTCACATGTGCTATTATTATCTTTACTCTACAAAGAAGGAAACTTGGCGAAGGCAGGCCCGTAAGTCATGCAGGGATGGGGAACCTGTGGCCTTCTGATGTCAAGATTGTTCTTTTTTAAGCATCAAATGAGGCAATAAAAGCTTCGTCTTCCTCTGCTGAGCCCATTTTAATAAAAGGATTTGTTCTGTAAAATTTGGATTCAGTCAAAAGGCCACACTTAAGGACCTAGAAGACCACATGTGGACTTAAGGCTACAGGTTCCCCACCCCTGCAAGAGCCTAGACTTGAACCCTGGCAGTCCTGGATCACTCTGAATCAGGAATCCTGAAGTACCAACTCAATTAAAAGGGGAAATAAAAGCAGGTTTTTAATTGGCCATTTCTGATCTGGAGTTCTCATTGGTTCGTGATTTAAATTTATCTTAAGAGCCATGTTCAGGCAATGGGGAGAATGTTATGCTCCTTAGGAAATGTGAGCTTTTCCAGCCATCACAACACCCTGTTTCTTTTCCTTCCTTTTACTTATAATAATCATTAACAGAATTCTTTATTTATTTGTTATTTGTCTGTCTCTTCTGCTAGAATGTAAACTCCAGTAAAGGCAGGGTCTATGTCTTCGCTGTATTGTCAATTTTGAACGGCTCTAGGCACACAGTAGATGTAATAGGCATTTTATATAGATATCTCGTGTGTGTGTGTGTGTGTGTGTGTGTGTATAGACACATACATACGTATGTATGCATAAGGATGCATGTAGATATAGACATATACTTGTTATGCATAAATATATATGTAGATATATGTTTGTTGAGTGAATAAACTATGATGCAGGACTACTGCTGAGGGCCATAAGGAAGCAGTGTGCATAAAATCAGATAAAGGAAAAAAATTTTAGAAATAAAGAAGGAAGAAAAATTAAATGTTAAAAGAATAAAGAGCCGGCCATGGTGGCTCACACCTGTAATCCTAGCACTTTGGGAGGCCGAGGCGGGCGGATTGCTCAAGGTCAGGAGTTCAAAACCAGCCTGAGCGAGACCCCGTCTCTACCAAAAATAGAAATAAATTAATTGACCAACTAAAAATATATATACAAAAAATTAGCCGGGCATGGTGGTGCATGCCTGTAGTCCCAGCTACTCGGGAGGCTGAGGCAGTAGGATTGCTTGAGCCCCGGAGATTGAGGTTGCTGTGAGCCAGGCTGACGCCACGGCACTCACTCTAGCCTGGGCAACAAAGTGAGACTCTGTCTCAAAAAAAAAAAAAGAATAAAGAAACTTTAAAAAATTTAGAAAAAAAAAAAAGAAGAAGCAGTGTGCAGACCATCTCACTGAAGATTTTTAGGCCAAGAATGCTTGCTTTTTTTACTCTTAATTGATTCAACACTTTACTGTTGGAGCATTGGCCTTCTTTCCCAGACATTGTTTATAGCTTGGGGAAATGGTCTCGTGTATCAGTACAAACACCAGCTGTGGTTTGCATCTTCTATTTGGCTTCTTAGATGCTGTTTGAGAAATCTTGAGTGAGTGTTATAGCCATTCTTACAACATTAACTTGGGAAATGATTTCTCCAGCAGATTCCATGGAGAGCCTCTCTCACATGCCCTCCTCCCTCCAGCCATCTCCTGCCAGCTGCCTTCATACTGCCCATGCTGTCAGCTCCTCCTTGCCAAGAAATGACCCAAATACTAATGCCATAGCCACTGAAGAAATCAGAAGTGAATCGGAGCTTCTCTTCCTTCCTGATTATCTGGTTTTGTCCAGCTGTGAGACTGGAAAACTGCACCATGCCAGGTATGCCTATGCCCAGGCCTATGTTCACAGAACCCACACTGCTTTCTCTTGTGGAGTCTGTCACTGAGACATGCTCACTGTGCCTCATCAAGTCAGTCCACTTAGCGGTAGCATTTTCTAGTGATGTGTCTGTTCTCACCTCTCTTCCTGCCAATGCCAAGGTAGCGACAGATCAACCCCTGTGAAAGATGAAGCATGCAGTATACTGAACAAAATGAGTCATATATTTCAGCATTGTGGTTTTCACTTCTAACCATGCATTTTCATATGCACCTGATGCTTGTAGAATGAAAAAAAATCACTAAACCATTTTTCTTTGCCTGCACAAAGGGGTTGGTGTAACTGAGGGTTGTAGAGGGAATATAGCTCTATAAGTATAAAAAGGATGATATTAGAGGAATGAGAATGAGGTTTTGTAACGGGTGGATGGCTACATTTCAGTCCAACGTACATGCTTTTCTTCCCTCAGTCTACCCACTAGATGTGACAGCTGGGTAGACTCAGACCGCTCTTTGGAACAGGATGATGTCTTTGTTGACTGCCTGCAGTTGCTACCCTCCAGTCATTTGGTCCAACCCTCACGCCATGGAGATGGATCTCAAGAGACACCTTCCACAAGGCCGCAGGCTGCCCTGATCTGGAGTAAAGAAATCAATGGGCCATCCAGGGACCACCTGTCTTCTTCATCATTGCTGGAAACTTCCTTAAATACCACCATTCAGGTAGATAAAAACCAAGGTTCCTTGCCATGTGGGGCAAAAGAACTAGACATTATGGCCAGCACTCCACCTCCCCGTCCCCCTAAGCCAAGCCATCTCTCTGAACGGTGCCAAGAGGAGCAACTCCTGTGGAGTGGACACAGCAGCAGCAAGAAGCCGGAATGCACTCTGGTTCCAAGAAGGATCTCTCTCTCTGGTTTAGACAACATGAGAACCTGGAAAGGTAAGTGTTGGGTGCTAAGATTAAGGTGCAGAGAGAAGCCTGGGCAAGGGGTGCGTTGCCTGGCTCCTCTTTACTCCTTTGTCCATGTGAGGAGCTTACTCAGTGTCCCTTGCTCTTGTTAGCACAGTCTCCTGATGTGGCTGGGTCCTTGGTGAAAGCCTGAAAGTAGCACTGTCTGCTGCTGGGTCCCCCTACCCCTTTTTTGAGCCTGGCCACAAGGAGAGATACTTAGGTCCCTTTAGATGCTGAAAGAAGTTGGAGCCCTGGCCCCTTGTGATGGACTTACCATGTGAGCGTTTCTCCAAGAGGGGAGGATCCCCACCTGAGACTGAGCTCCTAGTGTTTGTTTAGAGTCACTCAGGGACCCATTTGATACAGAAAGTGACATCTTTTGCTCAGCTCAACCCCATTTCCTTCTTTGCCTCTCACATACATGGTGATGCCTGAGACTATAGAACACAGCTCCTTTCTTCTATTTTTCAACATTCTCATCATGTCACCAGCCTCATTCATCATTTCACCTACTCTTCTCTCTTATGTCAGCCTGTGTCTCTCAGACACAAACTCAACTCATTCTTCCTCTCTATCTCTCTCCTCTCTTCTCTCTCTACTTCCAAATATAATTACCTACATATTGGTACCTATTTTGGCCATGTTTTAAAGGAACTATGGAAAGTATAAAGAATGCAAATTCATTTTCAAATTGTATGAATCTTTCATTCTGACTGAAGTCGCTGGCAATTCTTCCTCCAGTGTCCCTAATGCTGTTAGCAACCATTCCACATATTGTTTCCTTCTGAAAATCCCAATGATACATATATATGCTGATTACACAAAAGGTCTTCATGTGTTAGTATTTGTGAACAGTAGACAAAAAAGGAAAAAGGAAAGACTAGTTAAGCAGATTTTAGAAGGTGAAATGAATAAAACCAGTAGAATAATAGAATATGAAAATGAATCAAAAGTCTGAAATTAAAGAACAAAAAAAAATTGGAATAATTAAAAAATTCAAGATAAACATAAAACAGGTTGCATTCTTTTACATGAAGGCAAACAAAGGTTAAAAGTCAGTAAAATATAGAGTCTGACCATGGAACAGAGACCAGAACAACAGCAGTGACTGGAAGCAGAGTGGCCAGGATGAGGCAGAGGGAACGTATAAAGTTTATCGTCCCGCCTTTGCCATCGCCACCCACCTGGAACCAGTGTTGGGCTGTGGTGGCAGAGTGGGGTCAAGGTTCATTTTTGTCCATCTGGATCTCCTTCTGATGACCCGGCACCCTTTACTGGAAAGGCTGTCCTGTCCCCTCAGCTCTCCAGCTGCCCCTTCTGTCGTAGATGAAGTTCCATGGACGTGAGAGTCAGACTCTGGGTTCCGCTTTCTATCCTACTGGGCCCACTTGGCCAGCTTCCACCAGTACCACACTTAATTTCTGTACCTTTCTATCTTGATATCCAGCAGAAGTCCTCCCAGCTGTTTTTTAAGAATGCCAGGCCTAGAGTCATTTTGACAATCAGCTGGTCAGGTTCTAGACACACATACAAATATATGGGAGATTTGAGGAGAATTGCATCATATCTATAGATCAATTTGTGATGATTTGACATCTTTACAATGCTGAATTTTTCAATCCATGAACAGAAAATACCTTTCCATTTAAATTTTATTTTATTTTATTTTTTTTTATTTTTATTTTTATTTTTTTTGAGACAGAGTCTCGCTTTGTTGCCCAGGCTAGAGTGAGTGCCGTGGCGTCAGCCTAGCTCACAGCAACCTCAAACTCCTGGGCTCGAGTGATCCTTCTGCCTCAGCCTCCCGGGTAGCTGGGACTACAGGCATGTGCCACCATGCCCGGCTAATTTTTTATATATATATCAGTTGGCCAATTAATTTCTTTCTATTTATAGTAGAGACGGGGTCTCGCTCTTGCTCAGGCTGGTTTTGAACTCCTGACCTTGAGCAATCCGCCCGCCTCGGCCTCCCAAGAGCTAGGATTACAGGCGTGAGCCACAGCGCCCGGCCTAAATTTTATTTTTTATTTTAAAATATTTAATTGACAAAGATTGTATATATTCAAAGTATACCATGTGATGATTTGCTATGCATATGCATTGTGTATTTATTATCACTATCAAATTAGTTAACACATCCATCACCACCTGTGCTGTGCATTAGATCCCCAGAGCTTGTTCATCTTATAACTAAAACTTTGCACCCTTTGGTAAACATCTTCCCATTTCCTTGTGTGCCCCACTCTACCATTTTGCTCTCTATTTTTATGAGTTTGATTTTTTTAGATTCTACATATAAGTGGGATCAGACAAGTCCTCCTGGTTCACTCATGTTGTCACAAATGACAGGATTTCTTTCTTTTTTAAGGCTGAATAGTATTCCATTGTGAATATATACCATATTTCTTTTATCCATTCATCCACTGATGGACACTTATGTTGATTCCATATCTTGGATCTTGTGATTAGTGCTGCAATGAACATGAAGTGCAGATATTTCTTAAAGATAATAGTTTCATATCCTTTGGATAAACCCAGAAGAGGAATTGCTGGATCACATGGTAGTTGCATTTTTAATTTTTTGAGGGACCTTCACAGTGTTTTCCATAAGGGCTATATTGATTTACATTCCCACCAACAGTGTACAAGGGTTCCCTTTTCTCCACACTGTCACCAAAAATTATCTCATGTCTTTTTGATATTTGCCATGCTAACAGGTATGAGGTGATATCTCATTGTGGTTTTGATTTACATTTCCCTGATGATTAGTGAAGTTAAACATTTTCTTAATATATTGTTTGGCCATTGTATGTCTTCTTTTGAGAAATGTATATTCAGGTCTTTTGCCCACTTTTTTTTTTTGTTTTTGTTTTTTTTTTGAGACAGAGTCTCACTTTGTTGCCAAGGCTGGAGTGAGTGCTGTGGCGTCAACCTAGCTCACAGCAACCTCAAACTCCTGGGCTCAAGCAATCCTTCTGCCTCAGCCTCCCAAGTAGCTGGGACTACCGGCATATGCCACCATGTCCAGCTAATTTTTTTCTATATACATTAGTTGGCCAATTAATTTCTTTCTATTTATAGTAGAGACGGGGGTCTCGCTCTTGCTCAGGCTGGTTTCGAACTCCTGACCTCGAGCAATCCACCCGCCTCGGCCTCCCAGAGTGCTAGGATTACAGGCGTGTGCCACCTCGCCCAGCCTTTCCCATTCTGTAGGTTGCCTTTTCATGTTGTTGATTAGTTCTTTCTGTGTGCAGACGCCTTTTAGTTTAATGTAGTTCCAGTTGTTTATTTTTGCATTTGTTACCTGTGCTTTTGGAGTCATATTCAAAATAACATTGCAAAGACCAATGTAAAGGAACTTTTTCTCTATGTTTTCTTCTGGCAGTTAAATGGCTTTAGATCTTACATTTAAGTCTTTAATCCATTTTGAGTTAATTTTTTTTGTATATGGTGTAAGACAAGGGCCTCATTTCATTGTTTTGTGTGTGGATATCCAGTTTTTCCAACACCATTTGTTGAAGAGACTTTCCTATTCCCTTTGTGTATTCTTGGTGCTCTTCTCAAAGGTTAATTGACCATATATGTGTCAGTTTATTTCTAGGATGTCTATTTTGTTCCTTTTGTTCTATGTTTCTGTTTTTATGCTAATATGATATAGGTATTTAATTTCTGTGAATAATGTTTTATAATTTTTGGTGTAGAAATTTTATATATCTCTTATTAATATATGCATATGTATCTGCTATTTTTTATGTTATTGACAGTGGCACTTTATTTTAATAACTATTTTTGCTGTTATATAAAACTTAAATTGAGTTTTGAATTTTGATTTTATATTTTTCTATATTATAGATTATTTTGCATTTTCTTTGCATACAATCATATCACCTGCACATAATAATAGGTTTGTGTAATCTTTATAACCCTTATATTTTTCATTTACTTTTTCTTATGTCACTGCTTGGGATAGGAAGTCTAGAGCATTGTTGAATAATAGTGGTGATAACAGGGATCCTTGATCTCAGATCGAAAGCTTCCAACATTTCACCATTATAATGTTGTTTACTGTAGATTTTTATAGCTACCGTTCATTAGATTAAGGATCTTTTTTTTTTTTTGAGACAGAGTCTCACTTTTGTTGTCCAGGCTAGAGTGAGTGCCGTGGCGTCAGCCTAGCTCACAGCAACCTCAAACTCCTGGGCTCCAGTGATCCTTCTGCCTCAGCCTCCCGGGTAGCTGGGACTACAGGCATGCGCCACCATGCCCGGCTAATTTTTTTATATATATATCAGTTGGCCAATTAATTTCTTTCTATTTATAGTAGAGACGGGGTCTCGCTCTTGCTCAGGCTGGTTTTGAACTCCTGACCTTGAGCAATCCGCCCGCCTCGGCCTCCCAAGAGCTAGGATTACAGGCGTGAGCCACAGCGCCCGGCTTTTTTTTTGTATATATATTTTTAGTTGGTCAATTAATTTCTTTCTATTTTTAGTAGAGACAGGGTCTCGCTCAGGATGGTTTCGAACTCCCAACCTCCAGCAATCCGCCCGCCTCGGCCTCCCAGAGTGCTAGGATTACAGGCGTGAGCCACCGCGCCCGGCCAGGATCTTCTCTTATATTCCAACTTTGCTAAGTGTTACTTTTTGAAATCATGAATGGATATTGCATTATTTTATTTTATTTTCAATTGACAAATAATGATTATACTATTTATGGGGTACAATGGCCTTTATTATGTTGAGATACATTCCTTCTATGCCTAATGTATTAAGAGTTTTTATTATGAAGGAATGTTGAATTTTATCAAATGCTTTTTCTGTATCTATTGGCATGATCATATGATTTTTGTCCTTTATTCAGTTGATTATCACATCTATTGATTTGCATATGTTGAACCATTCTTGCATCCCTGACATAATTCCACTTGATAGCAGTGTATTATCTTTATGATGTGCGGTTGGATTTGATTTGCTAGTATTTTGTTGAGGATT